AGCATCTTTCATACACTTACAATTGGTTGAAAATTAAATTCCTTGTTTTAAAGCATCAGAAACATTGAATAACTTATATCAATATCTGACAGGGTAAAGAAATGGATGAAGGATACAGTTCTACTTTTAAAATTAAGCATCCTAAAAAATAATTAAAAAACTAATGACAAACTGGTCTCTCAGAGACTGTTAATATTCCACAGCATAAGAAAGAAAATAAAAGGATTTTTAAATAGTATATAACTATACAGATAACAATCCATCCAGGGAAAAAAAAAAACACACAACAAAAAAAATCCCAACTTTAAACACTGACATTGGCAACCTCTCAGGTGGTCCTTCATAACTTTGGATTCAGGAATTCAAAGGTATTAAGTGAAATGCAGCAATCCAAAAGCAGCATCAGCATCCTAGAAATATGAGCAGACTTGTCTCAACATGTCAAAGAGATTAAATCCCAGAACTGCACGCGGTCAGAGGCAAGGAAAAGGGAGTTTACAACTTTCAACATCAGTTTCAGGCCTGCTCATCTATTTACTTTCTCCAATTGCTATTCCTCCTATATACCTTCTGCAATAAATTGTCCCTCAGCTCTGACTCCAAGCAGAGGTTTTGAACTTCTGAAAGTCTGTGACAGCCACCCTAACCACCCCTGGCTGTGCATTAGAGCATACCTTGTGACCTTGTGAGGTATGGAAGACACAAAAGAAAATGTGGTCCAGGCTCAGCCAGCCTAAAACATACCCTCACCCTAAGGGCTGTCTATGGGTTTTTAGAAGTGCCAGCAGGGAGATCAGGCACAGAAATTTAGGTGTAGCCTTGGCCTGTTCTTCCACCAAGAATAAAAATTAAACCCCATGAAGTAATAAATTCTACTCTTACTGCAGTAAAACATGTAAAGTAAGCAACCCTCAAAGTATGAATCTGACTGGATGACTCAGACATTATTTATATTTTTCTTATGATTAACTTCTTTCTGGCAACATCTCCATACAAAATAAGACACCATTCAACACTTTAAAGGCAACATCATTGTACACCCTAAAATTAAGCATCATAAATTTAGTTATCCTCAGAATAATTACATTAAAGTTTCACTGGCACTTTGGACAAGTCTGTGATGTTATAACTGCAGCTTAAAATAGTGACCAATTTAAACTAAACATTTGTTTAATATATTGTCATGCAACATACATTTAATAGTAGTTTATAATTGTAATCTTGGTGGTTTTCATTAGTCTGTAGCTTTTTGTCATCATTTATCTAAATTATGTAAGCATTAAGCCTGTGGGACTATGACCAGTACACCAAGGTCAAGTCCATTCAAAAAAAAAAAAAGAGTCTCTATATTAAGAAGTTCTTTGAAATGTGCTGTAGTCCCCAAACATTCCTCAGGAATGTAATTCTTTTTTAGTGCCACGAATATCAATACAACTACCTGCAGAGACGGCAGCTGAGTAAAAGTGCCCAAGAACCTCAACAGTAATTACAGTAATAAACCTAGCAGAGGCCTTTGTATCAAGGACAGTTACAAGCAATTTTGATTTGACAAATTACATTAGACCAATCTTAATTTCTTTTAAAACAAAGTAGCAGCCTTTGGAAGATCACAGAATCACAGAATGGTTGAGGTTGGAAGGGACCTCCAGAGGTCATCTGGAGTACTGCATCCAGCTCTGGAGTCCCCAACATAAGAAAGACATGGACCTGCTGGACCGTGTCCAGAGGAGAGCCACGAGGATGATCCGAGGGCTGGAGCATCTCTCCTATGAGGAGAGGCTGAGAGAGTTGGGGCTGTTCAGCCTGGAGAAGAGAAGGCTCCGGGGAGATCTTATTGTGGCCTTCCAGTACCTGAAGGGGACCTACAGAAGAGCCGGGGAAGGACTTTTTAATAGGGCATGTAGTGATAGGACGAGGAGGAAAGGCTTCAAACTGGAAGAGGGCAGGTTTAGATTAGATATTAAGTAGAAATTTTTCACTTTAAGGGTGGTGAGACACTGGCACAGGTTGCCCAGAGAGGTTGTTGAGGCCCCATCCCTGAAGGTGTTCAAGGCCAGGCTGGACGTGGCCCTGGGCAACCTGGTCTAGTGGGAGGTGTCCCTGCCCATGGCAGGGGGGTTGGAACTCGATGATCTTTAAGGTCCTTTCCAACCTAAACCATTCTATGATTCTATGATCTGGTCCAACCTCTACAGATGGGCAAGAGCAGCAGATGCTATGTATCTTGATATTGGTCAAGTTTTTGATTTTAATCTCATATGCAAAATTCATCAGAATAGGATAAAATTTTCTGGAAAGCCACATAAAAATAAATAGCAATAGCTCTCCATGAAACTGAATGTGCTTGTTAACTTGTCTACTTTATACTTACCTGCTATTTTCATTTGTGATTCCAAAAGTGGAATAAACAGTACATTTACAAAATATGAACCGAGTTGCAAGAACACTAGAACGGGGATTAAAAATCAAATTATTCCCAAGAAAGTGAAAAGTTTATCTGAACAAATCAGAACACGATTTAATAACAACAAAGGTGATCACATAGGAAGGAACAGCCACCTCTGTGAATGCAGATAGCCATTTATCAGGAAAGTCTTTGGAAACTTTGGGGTTCACAAGTAGACTATGAACCAGAAGCCAATGTACAAGACATCTGCTCCTTTTAATTAGTATAGGCAAGCTTAAACCAGAATATCATCGCCGTTTTGTACATCACACTTGATGAAAGATATGGACCTAGTGCAGGGAAGCCAGAAGCTGGCAAAAGTGTGATCAGGGATCACAAAAACACAAGAAAAGTTGGGAAGAAGTGAGGTCATTTAGAAGGTTGAAGAGGAATACAGCAGTCTTTGCAAAGACAGGTTGCCTCAGAAAGGGTGGGATTTGTCTGTTCTCGACATTGATACAGGCTCAAAGTGCTGTGACAGAGGTGGAGGTAAGACCTCAGAAAAGGTTTTGTTCAAGCCAGTTAATCCCTGGAACAGATACATTGCCAAGGCAGTGGGGAGTATCTACTGCTGGTAGTCTTTCAGAACAGGTAGAACAGGAACCTGAACAGATGCAGTTAGAGCTGATCCTACCGTAGGACAGGTGTCCTTATTGGTCTTACACGCCGTAATTGTCCTTCTACAGTCTTTTCACTTAAGTTTCACTGGCGTCCTTCCCTGGCCTCCCCCCTTACCTCTGTATTTATCTTCCAGCTCATTCCTAAAGCCTCAGCCACCCTTATACTCAAGAAACCATAGGGAATGATATAATGAGCTGGTATCATACTCTTACTCTTCATGAGTATGATTCTCTTCTTGCACTTGCGTCTTCCTTGTATATTAGGGAACACACATCACCCTGTGTGCATGCATGCATGTGCATGTGCACTTTTTAAACACAAGAAGCTCCCATTCCTGATTAGCCTTAAAAAGCCATCCAAATAAATGCTTGGTAACACATGCTTCTTAATCAAGTTGCATCAGTACACGTCACGATGCCATTTCACAGTTATGATGCAGTTGATAATAGCTGAGATTGTACAGTATAGAGAGGTGACACATTTCTTTCTAAAATAAAAGTATGAGTAAATATCAAATAGCAACACTAACATACATTATGTCATCAGTTTTGAGGAGGAAATTACCCCACAGATTAATGAGGAATTCTGCCTAGAAGTCAAAGGTATGATATAGTCTTATATTATTAAACAAGAGCTAGATATGATCTAACCTACTTCAAACAGCCCAGCCTTTAATAGAGAGAGGAGAAACAGGCAGAGTACCAAGAGTCCATATTTATCTCTGGTGTAACACCAACGAAGCCAAGAGAATTCCTTGAAGCTCAGTGTGCCTCAGAGAGCCACACGGCAAGTGCCGCGTGTCATCCTGTAAGCTGCAAGGTATGATGGATGGAAAAAGCAATGCCATTTTCCGCTCCTATTTAGGAAACATTATACTAAGAAATAAGATACCACAGGACTGTATCTCAGATAATGTCTGTTTATTGTTATGTAACAATTGATGTATCAATTCGCTAAACAATTTACAAATCCAAATACGAACACCCTCCAGGAAGTCCTCTGGAACTTGATTTTTTTCCTATACTATACACACTAAACAAAATTATTCTGTAAATAATATACAAGCAAACACTGAGTTTTATATACAACTTCCTTGAAAAAGCAAGAAGGAACTAAATAGGCTATAATTCATTTTTTCAAAATCTTAAAGCTAGGAGATCTTTCATCTATCTGGTCAAGTCAGACTTATTATATTAATCCCCAGACCAGAGAGAGTGATTCCCTTGTTCTTAGCGCTGACACCAAACACTGTATTGTTCCCACCCCCCCCGAAGGTACATTCTAAATAGATGGACATTAATAGATAATGACTGGGAACAGAGCACATAAATACCTTTTAAAAAATTAACAAACCTGGATTTCCTTGGACATATGAGCAATAAGAAAAAATCACCTAGCATCTTTTTAGAAATGCACCCAAAAATTCCTCATTGGTAGCCTGCTTCTGGCTTTACACTCCATGATGAAGGCCACTCTTTATTTGTGATAACGAGGGGTCTCTACTCTGGCCAAAGTTGTCAGCAACTGACAGCCCTTCACATTTAGCAGTTTCAGACACTCTGTTGGGTATCCCTAACCCAAGTTCTGTGTTTCCAGAAGACCAAGACCCTTGCCAAAAAGTTGAGAACAGAGCAGTCCCAGGGAAGGGGAACTAGGAGCTGTTAATTTCCCACTGTGTCCAGTGCAGGTCTGTGTCACCCTGTTTACATCATGCATCATTCATCTGCTGTGATGAAATGCAACCCCGTGTTTTAAAAAAAGACCTCTGTAACAGTGAGGATACTCTATCTTTGTGAGAAGTGTTTCACATATTTTCCATGGGCACAAACTGCTCCTGCTTCTATTTAAATCTCTGTAGCTCTCTTCGTGGGACATTATTCACTTCAGGAAGTTCATTCAGAAGGTGCTGAGCATAAGAAGAGGAAAAGCCAGCATGGCAGCAGACAGCAACATGGCTCCTGACGAAAAGCCGAGCACTACTCCTGCGAAAAGGGCCGTCCACAAGATCCGAATGGCCAGCCTAGTCTTCAGCTTGGCGCGAGGTTGGCAGCAGTGGGCATCTGACCACCATATAAAGCAAGCCCAAGAGCCCTCTGGATGGGTCCCCCCTGAAGAAGACTCATCAGCTCAGCCTGTACAAGAAAGACCCTTTGAGAAATGGCCTATTCCATCTGTCAAGGGGGACCAAGGAAAAGATGATGAAAAATCCTCAGCAAAGGAATCAGTGACAATAAGAGAGGCTGAAAAAAATTCAAGGGAATCAGATGAAGCCCTCAAAAAGTTCAACATTAAAAGCAAAGAGGTGACCAAAACAGTTGTCAGCAAAGCCTATGAACGAGGAGGTGATGTTAGCCTCCTCAGTGAAAGATATGAGAATAATAGTAGCTCAGAAATGCCCAAGCTCAAAGAAGAATCAAGTGCTATTGACAAAATTCTTAGTGGCAAATTATCTCCAACCATAAGGAGAAAGTGTTCAAATGTGGTATCAGAGCTGACCAAGGGCTGGAAACAGATGGAACAAGAGGACAAAGAGGGGACTAAGGAAGAACTCCTGCTTAAGTGTCATGATGACAGCCTGGATGCAGAGGACAGCGGGTACGGGGAAGCAGAAGACAAACCCGAGCAAGGAGACAGTGACCGAGAGGTGATGGCTGTGCGGATTAAACGACCTGTGCCATCTTTGTAAGTAAAACATCTTTATTACATTATCACAAATAGTCAGCAGACCCTGGGAGGGGTACAGGTTTCCATGAGGAAGATGGGGGGAAAAATGGTAGAAAATTGTCAAAGAGAAATACTACTCTTGAACAAAATGAAAAACAAAATAATAAAAATTCAGGAAACCTTTCACTTATGTCTCTGTGCTTAACTAGTTAGTCAACAACATCTGACTATAGCCTTGGGTTTTATATGCTATATACATAACAGACACAGGAAGTTATGTTTGTGAAATGTTAATTACATTTAGTTTTCACACTGGATTTACTGGTTCATCAAAATCACTACTTACTTCTTAATACTTTAGTCCATATTTCAGAATAACCATTTTTACCTCATCAAAAGCCCACAGCTATTCATTTATTTCAGCAAAATGTTATGTCCAAAGCAATATACTTGACAGATAATATTTCCAAATGCTCATTCATTATTTTGCTTAGTATAATTTGTAAATATTCTCAGGAGTAATCTGCAGAGAATGTCCAACATAGACATTGTAGGAGTTACTTTGAAGTACATCTTAACAAAAGCTGGGTTCACTGCTTCTCCTTGGAAGCTTTCCATGGATTTGGAATTCATCAAGTCAAAGAATGGAAACTTTCACAGGAGTTGGGACCCCAAACATACATTAGAAACTGTCCAGCCTGCCTCAACATCTGCAGGATTGATTTGAATCATGCTATATGTTATAAATAATTTTACAAAAAAGAACATTTGAATCATCAATAGATTCTTCCAATTCAAGGTCTCTCTTTGGGTACAGTATCATAAGGGGTAGGGAGGGGGAAGTACATTCATTGAATGTATTGTGAAAGTAGAAATTCCTGATGTACAGGCTTCCTTATGTCTGTAAAAGATTTGGAAAAAAAAAAAAAAGAAAAAAAAGAAAGCAGTATCTGTTACTTACCTATGGAGTTATTGCAGGGCCTACTTAAAACTTTGAATTAAGTAGCAAATTCATAGCATCAGACAGTTTTGAGTAACACTTTTTTCAGTAAGAGGCTCACACTTGAAGATTACTACACAAGAGCAGGTGCATATTAAATTTGGAGCCCAGGTAGTAAACAGGCAGAGTTCAGCCTTAGCGATGTAGTCCTTTGGGAAGTCTCCCAGAAGAACAGTGGAACAGCAGAGACTGGTAGAAATTCTCTAGTTTCCTTTCCCAGAGATCTCCAGCAGAATTGCCTTTCCAGAAGATGGCAACAACTGTGCTGTGGCCAGACTTTGCCAATGGGCAGCTGCCAAACAACTCCATCGCTCTTTTGTTGGTAAAAGATTAAAAGATCCATACGTCCAACACTGCAAGATGGGAAACTGCAGTCAGCTGTTACAGACACACAACGCTGTTTGCTCCGGTCCTCTGTTTTACAAACTTGGTAATTCCCCAGAACAAAGACAGGAGAAAGGAACGTGCGGTTGAGCCTGAACTGTTTTGGAGTAAAACCTCACATCTAGCTGTAAAATTGTGATTAGGCCAGGGCGTACCAGGCTGAGGCCAAGCCCACGTGCTGCTGAAACCTGAACCAAGGCAGGGTTTGGTAGAGCTCATCTGCCTGAGCCCACAGGGAGGGAAAAGGCTGGCACCAGGACATGGGTTCCTACCGGGAGCCATCCCGTGGTGGGGCCCGAGTCTCCATTGCTTCTACTCTGCATCCACAACACGAGCTGAGCACGAGGCAATTTGAGACAAGAAGGCAGGGTTTTCACCCACCCAATTAGCTTGTGCGTAAAGGATGAGCAAGGCAGCGGGAATTGGAGGATCAGGGCCAGTATGTTCATAGTGTATCCTAATCGCCATCTCAGAAATGAAAACCTGGGACTAACACTGATGAAAATGCCAAAAGACTTTGTCATCCCTCTGCAGACTTGCAGGCAGGCCACACCATTCCCACTGCTCAGGTTTGATACCTCACTACTAACGACTGTTTAGACTATGACTAACACAGTAATGGATTTCAACCATATGGTACTTTTTAGCTCAGCTATCTGAACACATGCAGTCATTTTAACTATTCAGATTGGGGATTAGAAGGATGCTTTGCTGTACAGCTGACCAGTCATCGCCCACAAGGAGAAAGGGGTTAACAGCAAAACTGAAAAAAGCTCTCCAGTAACATACAGCTTGAAAGTTTGTAGCCCATGCTTTTGGGAGAGACCTTGTGCACTTTCCTTTGACAGAAGTTAAGACCTCAAAACAAAGATCTCACACATACAGTGGGGAAAGAGAATACATTTGCAGCAGATATTATCTGTAAATAACCTCAATTAAAACAAATTGCTCACTTTAAAATGCTATACTAGAAACAAAATAGCAATCTTTCTGTTATACTTTACATATATTTTCCCCATACACCCAATTTTAGTGCTGCTACCTAGGAAAAAAAACAGTTAGCCATATTTACTGAGGTGCAAATGATTGAAATAACACCCTCTATGTTACAGCTCTCTCTCCACTGAAATCTGACACAAAAGTAATTTTCTGCACTTAGAGTGCTGTTATCAGACTGGATTTTTTAACTACTCATATTTTTAATTTATTTAATATCCTCAGAATACATTATTTCAGCCCGCTACTTTTATGAACCTGTCAGTGTGGCTTAATCTTCTTCAAAAAGGCCATAAGTACATGGTTGTTAAAGCAAATCTGCCATTTGCCTCTCTATTCCAGGAAAAAAGCATCAGTACCAATTTTTTTTTTTCCTCGCATCAGCACTTTCCATCATTTCCAGCTGCAATATTTACTGGAATAAGATTGCTTCTTTAGCAGAAGGCCTGTTAATGCCTACAGGCCTAGGAAATGCTATTTTGTTCCCACTTAGGAGCCAAAGGGGCGCAGCAGTGACATGAAACTCAGAATATTAAAAAGAGATCCATGCTCTTGCCCTATGGAAAGGATCATAGGGAACTTGGAACATGGACATTGTCCTCCTAGAAATTCAGAATGCATTTAGGGTGATCAAGAGAAGCCCAACATGAGCCGGCAATGCACGATTGCAGCCCAGGCAGCCAACCATATCCCGGGCTGCAGCAGAAGAAGTGCGACCAGCAGGTCAAGGGAGGTGATTCTGTCCCTCTACTCCGCTCTGGTGAGACCCCACCTGGAGTACTGCATCCAGCTCTGGAGTCCCCAACATAGGAAAGACACGGACCTGTTGGAGCAGGTCCAGAGGAGGGCCACAAAGATGATCCGAGGGCTGGAGCACCTCTCCTATGAGGAGAGGCTGAGAGAGTTGGGGCTGTTCAGCCTGGAGAAGAGAAGGCTCTGGGGAGATCTTACTGCGGCCTTCCAGTACCTAAAGGGGGCCTACAGGAGAGCTGGGGAAGGACTTTTTACTAGGGCATGTAGTGATAGGACGAGGAGGAATGGCTTCAAACTGGAAGAGGGCAGGTTTAGATTAGATATTAGGTAGAAATTTTTCACTTTAAGGGTGGTGAGACACTGGCACAGGTTGCCCAGAGAGGTTGTTGAGTCCCCATCCCTGGAGGTGTTCAAGGCCAGGCTGGACATGGCCTTGGGCAACCTGGTCTAGTGGGAGGTGTCCCTGCCCACGGCAGGGACGTTGGAACTCGATGATCTTCAAGGTTCCTTCCAACCTAAACCATTCTATGACTCTGATTAACATAATTTGACTGGAGATTGTTACAGGTAAAGCACTTCTTACAGAGGGTTAACTCTCACAACCTTCATTTCAGGTCTACAATCCATTGTGCACGTGCTGTACAAACATGAAAAAAAAGCTTCTACATGTATACACTTTATAATGTTAACTTGTCATTAAGCTAAACAATGGGGAAAATTGCACTTCAGCCACCAGAAATGGTTAAATTAGAAGATACATTAAAAAAAATGACAGTATCAGTAAAGTTTTCCCAAACCTGTGTGGGGCATGATAAAAGCAAAAAGAGAGATAAGATGACGTTTTTCTCAACCACTGAGAAGATGATTCAGATAAGGAAAGTGATAATAGCATTCAGCTAGAGAAGAGAATTAAAGGTTTTGGTATGAAAAGGAAAGAATACTTACTAGACTGTTAAATAAAAAGAGGTAACAAAGCCTTTACAGAGTTACACTATCTCACTCACGGTCTTCTTTCCCCTCAACCTGGGAACTGAAGCTCTAGGGCTTTCTCAGGGGTTATGGCCCTTGGAAAGAAGGGGGAGCAGCTGGCTGTGGCTGCGGGACAAGCTCTCTGTGATGGGATCTGCTCGTCAGCTCCACTGAGACTGGTGGTATCACTTCTTCTAAGCAATTTTGATTCACTTAGGGTTCCCCTCCCTTCACTGATACATTCCCACAGGAAAAGCTGGGGAAGCAATCCATCTGAGCTTCAGCTGGAGTTCAGGCTGTGCTGGCAAAGAGTTTCCACAGCTTTTGGGAGATCTGTAAGTTTCAGGAGACAAACTGCTTTGCATAAGCAAACCCTGTGCCCACAGTTCCTCTGGGCAATGAAGCCACAATTCAGGGCTAGGGGCAAAGGATCACAGCTTTCCCTTTCTCTGTATGGCAACAGCTTATATACAGGAGGATTCAGTTTATCATTGGGGAAAAAAATTGTCTAGCTCTACCCCACTGAAATATTTTAATGCTTTCCTGCCAACACCTACCTGTTAATCATTTACATGCACAAAACCACAGGTACACATACACTGCCTGCGCTGAGGATGCTCTGCAGTCACGTCACAGAAGAAAAGTGCATTTACTTGGCAACACTGTGTGCTCGATTCCTCTGATGCTTTTCACCATATTGATGGGGAAGGGTATTTTGGAGTTTTTTCAATACAGTTTCTCAATGTAGCTAAGCCAAGCTAATGGTAACTCCCCAGCTAAAAGAGCGGTCCTTCTCTCCTACTCCTTTGTCTATCCCTGGCACTGAGCATCTGCTGTTCTTGCTCTAGCACGAGAGTGCTGCCCAGTACTGGCATCCTTCTGATGCACAGACCTGAACTGGGGACAACTCTATCATTCCTATTCTCTCTTTCAACAAGCTTAACAGAAAACCAAATGCCCAAACGGCAGGGAAACAAAATTTTCTGCAGGTTTGCAGTCCTCTGTACTGTTTTGCTAACCGTATTTCGGTTCTCTGGTGTTACTCTTAATATTCAGCTGACGTTACCGGGGAGGTTTCAGAGCAGCCTTCTGGGGAGTAAAAATATTAGAAAACAAATTACTTTGGCACAGCCACAGCACAACATACTCCCTAGCCGAGCTCTGTACAGACACAATGACAGGATGTGGACAGCACAAAGACTAGCTCAGACTATCTATAGCTCCCCCACAGCCTGCAAGATTGGCCACTAGAGGAAAGAACATCAACAATTTGTCTGCCTGGAGTCATCCAGCAATATGATGTTGCTATGCACACACACACGTGCACAAAATCAATAAGACTTCTGAAGGTCTTTCCTCATCCTTTGACCTTGACGCAAATCTCAATAGCCCTAAGCTGCTTTCAGGCTTGTACCCTGCCAGTGAGACTGTGAATGTGGAACTTCAATACTTTTTCAGAACTATACTCCAAACACATAAGTGTAGGCAGAGCTACTGCACTCTATTACATTTTTTTGTTGTTGTTGTTTTAAACATCGACATCTATGACAGGGGACAGATTTTTTACAGACACAACCTCCTGTTTTTCAGTCGAGAATAGCTGAGGACCCAGTCTGTACACTTATACAGTTATCATCATCTATAACATCAGGGCAGGCAGATTTCAGGCTCTAGAATGGGGAGCTGCACAACTGACCAAAGGTATAGAAAGTGCAGGTAATCTGTAACACACCGTTTCACCCCTCTATAGCACTAAGTCATTCTGAGCTAAAGTTTGTCAAAATAGGCTTAAATATAGGCTGGAGGGTGGTAATGTAGACGAGATCAAGCTCTGATCAGCAAATCCGCTTTTGAGTGCAAACTAGAACGCGGACTAAAAGCCCCAAAGAACCAATTTAGAAGTAGTGAACTCATGCCACCTGGTGGTTAGCAGGTCTGGAAAAACCCGGTAACCAAGTTAATAGAAGAGATTAGTAGTAGAACTGTGTAATTAAGTGATGAAATGCAGAGCTCAAACGCCCTTTTTGTCTCTTGCAGCGCAAGCAGGTTCAGCGAAGAAGCAAGCACCAAAGCCCAGAGGAAATACAGCCCCGTTAACAGCCTGAAGGACAGGTGGCAAGAATGGGCCGACCAGCACATCATAACGCAGAAGCTGAATCCCTTCAGTGAGGAGTTTGACCACGAGCTGGCCATGTCCACGCGCCTCCACAAAGGAGATGAAGGCTACGGTCGTCCAAAGGAAGGAACCAAAACTGCCGAAAGAGCCAAGAGAGCCGAGGCCCACATCCATCGGGAGATTAGGGACATGTGCTTCATCATTGAATCAATGGCTAAGCCACGACCCGACGGCAAGATCCAAGTCACTTTTGGGGAACTCTTCGACAGATACGTTCGTATTTCAGATAAGGTTGTTGGGATTCTCATGAGAGCCAGGAAACATGGGCTGGTGGACTTCGAGGGAGAAATGTTATGGCAAGGAAGGGATGATAATGTCATAATTACTTTATTAAAATAAGCATGCTACAACAAAAGCAGCTTGTTTTGGGAAACCTTTCTCCACTTCTCCCTTGCTATTAGCATTTGCACATTTTGCATACAAGATTCCCCCCGTTCACCCACACAGAAAAGACATTGAGCATTTTTCTGAATATGTATTTTATAACAACTGCATGATAATGTAAGCATCCAAATGGATTTTTCTCGTACCAGGAGGGCTTGCAGGACACTTCAGTTAATTACTACATAAAGAGAAAAATCTTTATTGAATATAAGCAGCTGAATAAAAAAAACCTATAGCAATATAAATAGCTACAAATGAATTCCAATTTTTACTTGTTCTTACAGTCAAGATCTTCCCAACTATTTAAACTGGGATATCAGGAATACGAACCATACTGGATCAGAAGGGGAATGACAACATAAACTCAGAACAAGTTTTTGATCTATGAAAGTGATCTTGTACACGTACTTCCTAATTAATTTATTTAAATGCATGTAAAAATAGTTTTATTTGAACACAGAATCAAGGATACCACATTCGTTCCCTTTACAAACAGAGTATATAAATACTACCGCAGTATTATCTTGTGGCAACTACTGACACAACTTTCTCTTACGTATCACGTACGAACTAAGACAAAATCCTTCTTTTTATAAGTGAGCTTTTATATTGAATGTATTTATATAATTAATTTATTAAATAGTTTCATATTTAGAGTTATGGATGTTGAAAACACCCAAGAAAATGTGATGCACAGAAATGTTTTGAATAGATATCCACATAGAAAATACCTCCTGTGTAACACTGTGCAATGTATTATCTGTTTATCTATGTAAATATAGTTCTTATAAATACAGGGGAAAATAACATGTTAACATATAAAAACCAGTCAGGTACTCGTACTGTTGTGTATAGTAAATAAGTGGCTACAATCAGCATCTTCCATTGAATTGTACCTCTGTGAGAAAAGATACAGAAGCAGTGTTCATACCTAAAATCAACTAACTTTAAGGAAAATGGTGTTTCACGTTACACAGAAACACTGGGCTAATTTTACAGCATTTGCCGTTTGAACCGTTCTGATATCACTGAAATAATCTATTTCAGTCCAGGTGTGATGCTGAAGAGGAGTAAATGCTAATGAACTGATACTTCTAGGTCTTAAAATTGTGTTTGTATTGTACAAATCTAAGACCTTTAAGGTCTACAATGCTTACTAGATTATACAGATCACCATTTCTCTAAATTACTACTGTAAAAATAGTTATCCTAGTAAAAATGTGTTCCATGCGAAAAGCATTTGTTTTGGAGCAAGATGCCTAGGCAAGTAATTTGCACAATGAAAAAGAAACCTTTTTTTTTCCCCCGTAAGATTCTTTCAAACTGAAAGAGCAAATATCTTCTTACAGAAGAAACGGTGTATGAAGATGTTGTCTCTGTGATAAAATAAGTATTGCTGTCTTATGAGAGTACAGGTACTCCAGTTTGAAGCTCCAATGAACACATAAATCAAATATTTTATAAGTTAGTGATAAACAAACTGATTATGCCTCTTGTAAACTATGTAAATTATTAGTATTTTAGGCACAGTTATATGTTGTGAATCTAAGAAAGGAAAAAAAAATAATTATAAGATGGCTTTGGTAGAACTTATTTAACAACATTTTCTTGAGATCTGACTACTCACACTTCCCTGTAAAACTGACCTCTAAGTGTGAAGGAAAAAAAATAATTATAAGATGGCTTCGGTAGAACTTATTTAACAACAATTTCTTGAGATCTGACTACTCACGCTTCCCTGTAAAACTGACCTCTAAGTGTAATGCCTATGTATCAGAACATTTACCCGTGTATTCTTACCTTACCATCTGTATATAATGACCTCCACAGCTGTCTAAATTGTCTTGAGTATATTTTGTTGACAAAGGAATACATGAACTATAAATAAAACCCTTAATAGATTATTTTTTGATTTATTTCTCCCACACACTAGAGAAGAAATACTCGTGCGTATTCTGCAAAGTAAATCATCAATAAGTTGTTTCAAAATACAAGTACATTCTCCTGTTCACAGGCAGTTAAAATATTTCCCTGTGAAGGCTTCCCTGTCCAACGCAGCAGAATAACATTTCAGAGTACATGGAAATGAACCACTTGTTCTACAAAATACTTGTACAAAGAATACATACAGAAGGCACATAAGTGTTAAGTGAATTACATATTTCTGCTCACGAGAACTCTCATCCTATCACAGGACAACACAGCAGAAATACAGTTCACCACAGATTTTCTTTTTTCAGTGTTATGTTCATGTGCGACAAAGCCCAAGAGCACCACACCACTGGATGAGAAATCACACACATCTACTTTCACTGTGACCCGAGACAGGGGGAGCGATATATTTTTGTACTGAAGCACTTCATAGTATACCACCAAGAGGTGATTTCAATATTATGCATGTTGACAGCATGTAATAAGAGTCTGTGCTTTTGATATGAAGTCTATACCATCTACTACTTCACCTTCAAGGAAACATCTAGAAAAGAACTAGGCATGTATTGCTGAAGAAGGAATGAAAAAACCTTCCTGGCTTAGGTCTTGAGCAAATAGATTACCCTGTAGAAATTGCAGAGTTTTCCCACTTTTTTCTACCTGTTCAACAGGAACACGGAACTTGTAGCGCCTCTTCTACTCTGCCTTCTACCTGCTGAGCACTGCTTCAAATAAAGAAATTGTTACACAAAAGGAAGGCAGCAATTGTTGCCAACAATTTTCATTCACAAGAGCCATCGCTGCCTCTTTGCGTGCTTCTGACAAAAAGGGCTGGGCTGACTGGATCACAACCAGCTTCAGCTCTGGCATCTTACTGCTCCTGCCCCGTACGGCACAGGGAGGCAGACACCTGACTTGGACTCAATAAACTGCTGGCATTCCCAAATGCAATCATCTTCCTCCAGATTCATCAGAGCAAGTTAAGCATTTAATTTGGAGGCAACAATCGCTCCTGACCCAGTCTTAATGTCTGAAATTTAGGCGTATTTGCACCTAAGTTAATGCTGAGATTCATAAAAGTTTCATCCACTTAAACATTTGTGAGCAACAGATTATTGACATTTGACATTTCTGCAGGCTCCTGTGTGCCCACCAGAAGTCACTGTGGACAAACCTATACTTTAACAGTTTCGTATAACACATATACTAATACTGGTGGCAAGAGAGGTAAGGACAGACCCAGGCTGCAGGGCAAACTTCTCAGCTGAACTGAAGTTCAGTGAGATGGGACACGGGGAACCTTCCCCTTTTCTCCTTTATGGAATGTAGCAGAGAGAACTGAATTTCTGTAAATTTTATTCAAACACATTCAGTAACAGAATGGACTAGAGGCACTCTACTGCTTGAAACTCAGCATTTCATTTAGCCAATGTCTTCTTGCATCTCAGAACACCCAAATATGCGTGCATTTATACCTACTACAGAATAAAAATTAGATTATAGGTCTACAGAAAGGTAACGTTACACCAATTGACACTGGGGGGGGGGGGGGGGGAGGGGGTGCTGAAAGAGACCAGCCTTCAAGCTAACAAGCCCTCTTCAAATCTCTCCTTGCCTTTAAATCCTTAGATCGGCTGTAGAACAATGCAATCACTGCATCACAGATCTACAGCTCGCTGCAGGTAACTTCCTAAGCCTCCCCATTCATAGCCATCCTAATGTAATGTTAAAAACTTTATGCAACAAAAAGCTCCCACTTTTGCCATTTTTCCACTCAAAATATTTTATTTCCAATTGGATAAGAAAACCACACATGTGATAAGACTAATGATTTGTCTCATACTGTCCTCCATCATTTACCTTTGAGTAGGCACCACCATGCAAAGCCTTCTGAAGTATGAGAAGTATTTAGTTTTATGTAAGAGAAGTATTAAATACTGATGTAATTTATGATGCATGGAAGTGTTTCATGTAGGTTAAATGTTCTATAACTTTTTTTTCATAAAGATGTGACAAGATTATCCATGCAAAGGTGGAGAAAATAAATCTGAATTCATTAAAAAACTGAACAAGAGTACTCCCATAAATTACCCAGTCTGACTCTCCCACTATATTGCAACTGTTACGTTCCTGTGAAACCAGTTCAGACCTCTGCCAAATTTAAATGTTCAACTTTAATTCTAAGTGGTGAGATGATAGAGGTCAGAAACTGCTTGATTAAAGCAGTCTTTGTAGATTTTATCTAGGGCCTGCTTTCCAATTTCTGACTTGCTTCAAAAATAAACCCCTTAAACTTTCAGCTAAAGGGTGAGCAACTCTTAGTTACTCTCACAGTAGCTTAGCTTCTTAAATACTGTATTCATCTCCCAAATGTTTTATTTGAAAGATTTCCTTCTGATAAGTAACATTTCCCTCATTCTCCTGTCTGAGGCTTGCGTTTGTGTTGCAAGGGTTGTATAGTTTGCTAAGAAAGCAGAGTTCCTTCCTTGGTATTAAAAAACTTGTCTTCTCTTCTGTAGGAACCGAAAGGTACATTTCCTGTATTCTGAATGTACCTTTCATAGTTAAGTGGCAGCATGGAACTTGTGTGAGAAGAAATAAATTTGACTTTCACACCTTTGTATTTTTTCAAGTCTCACAACAGTTGCTGCAGTGGCTTGAAGTGTGTGGATGGTTCACTGGATGCATATCCCACCCCCCGGAAATCAGCTCCCTCCCCCATGGCAGAAATTCCTTCTTTGAAATGTTCCTGTACAGCCAGGCTTCAGTATTACAGCTTTTAAAACATGGGAAGGCTACTGAAATAAAGTTGTCTGTAGCGAAAAGTATAACATTTGCGGTGAAATGTTCAATCGTCACTGACCACAGAACAAATGTTGGCAAGTCCTGTTGCCACAGCTGCTTCAGCTGCTGTGTACACATTGCACCACACCAACATCTTGACTAAAGTCAGTCCTGCCACCACAGGGCACGCTGCAAATAGTTTACTGTTCAACAGCAAGTGTACTACTAGCAGCGTAACC